ACACTCTGTTGAATTCTACGTAATCAAGAATCATTTTATATAAAATTGAACGTTTCCCCTGTTTTATATTTTAGGTCCTACATACAATCGAATATTATGCATTTGTTCAAATCACAGATCACAGGAATAAATATTAAAATGCACAAAAATTGTGTGCCAATAAAATGCAACAGACGTTAAAAAAACATCGATATACATTCAATTTTAAAATCCGCTACACCATGTTTTTTCAAATATTTTTTTATGACGTATTTTCAATATCAACGGCAAGAGACAATTCCCTATATTGGATATTTTTAAAAATACGGTCCCTTTTCGGTTCTCGTTTGTCTATTTTATTATTCTATATTTTTAGGTTTAATAATATTCATATACTAATAAATGCATTGCAAGTCTTATAACTAATATATAACTAAAAATTATAGTTAACTTATAAAAATGTATGTAATGGCAAACATTAAAGTACGCATATAACGTAGACTAAAAGACATTCCATTAGCAATCTAAAATTCCTTTCATCTCCATCGAAGCGATTTTGCCACCAACTTCATCCCTTAACGACTTGTGAGACTTCGGACTTAGCCACAAATTGTTAGGTACACAACTTACCTCGAAATCATAGAGAAAATCCCGTTATTTCACTTACGTACTTTAAACGGAGTTTAATGTGCACAAACGGCGCTTAACGGCATTTCCCTGTAACACGTGCGAGATAGTTAAGCCGCTCTGTTATATATCGCGGAAAGAAAAGTTTGAGCCTAACTGGAGAGAGGTTATAGTCTGTTCATTAGCTACAGAGAGCAACAAAATGTTCAACAACTCAAAAACGGTATAACTGAAAAACTACAAATAATTTTGTGCGGAAATGTTATTTAAGTATGAAAAAATATTATTAATTAATTAATATATTTTTAAAAATTTGCAGGCAAAGAGGCTACAGAGCACAAATATCTCGAAAACTTTTTGTATTTGTTACCTGGGAAGCCGAAAACCGGCAATAAATTATATTAAAGAAATCTATCTCTAGGTATTTTATGCAATATTGAATTGATAATCGGCAATAAATAACGCTATTAGGTAGATTTGAAAATGATGTTCAATGTTAATTCGTCTTTTTCTTTTCGCGATTCGATACTTTAAATTGTATCCTCGACTGTACCTATTATCGGCCAAATTTGGTTTCAGGCCGGATTAGTAGAGAAGAAAGGAACAAATACTAACAAAAACTGACCAAAAATTATACTCTGGTGTGCCCTACTCGAAAATCAAATATGATGAAAATTTAGAAGTAGGTACTTCTCAGGGTAGTGTCCTTGTGTCCCCAATTTTTCTCGTTCCAGAATATATTTCCAAAGGCTTAGTTCCATATCGAGTAAATGTTGTCCAACTATGCTCGCTGACATGCAAATTATGCTTTCTGAATTAACAGAATGCGCATTTTTTTTTTCAAAAAAGTCGTAGACCTTTCACCAATCATCCTGTAAGTTTAACTGAAACTGGTTTGTATTCTACTCTATACAGGCTTATTGTTTCAGGAGGGCGGAACTAAACGAGGGACATGATTGACTATTCCCATATTGGTGAAAGATAAAAACCTGAGTCACGGTTAAGATTGTTTAGTTGTTTAGAGATTTCTATGGATTTTCGGATTTTTCTTTGAATTTTAGTTTCAAGATTTAATTTTCGGTTTCATGATTATGTTCGGCAACTACTGACTGAGTTTATTTGCAGTAGTCTTAAGGCACTTTCATGTTCTTTGAGCCTAGTTGATATTGCTGCATTTGCATAGAATACTGTAAACTCTTGGTGTCTAGAACGCAATTTTGTTTTTTCTTGGATCAAAGAGAGAAAAGATTTTTTGACAAGAGGTAAATCTGGTTTGAACATTATATTTCTAATGCGTGGCCAGTAATGGTTCGAATGTAAAGAAGGACCACAGCTTTAAGAGTGCGATTGCTTTAGAACTCATCAACGTGGAAATTATTTAATGCTGGGGTTAGTGATATGGGAGATACTTTTAAGGCTCTGTTAAAAAGAGTATAAACTCTCTCGATGGCTTTTGGATCCGATGGTGATGCTACAATACATGAAAATATCAGTCTGTGTGCGTAGGTTGTCTGTAAACTGAATGACCGAATTTTAGACCTGATTTTATATTAATAAAAATATCTATGAATCTGAGATTAGTAGAGTGTATAGAGTTAACAAGCCGAGAAATTCTTGAGAAATTGAGAAATTAGTACAAAGTAAGAATTTATTACGTTCTATTTCATTAGAAATTCATCTAGAAAATATTAAATGTAATAATAATAAAGTATCAGCCACTTAAAAAATGCCCACTATCGCTAATGTCGTCACTAATCGGTCCCGATAAATATTTTCTTCTTTTATTACTCGTTTTTCATAGTTAGGCCCTCTTTGTACTGATATTTTAGCTACCTCTTGACGGATTACGTTCATGGTGCTATCACTAAATTTTGATACAGTGTACAAAGGAGTAAAGAGGAAAATATAAATAAATTTGTCGTATTAGTATTGACATAAATCATGATGTTTTATTTCACTTTAGTGTCAAGTTTTATTTCTTTATATTTTTTCTTAATGCAGAATAAACATCTGTTCGGATAGGTTTTGCCATGGTCCTGCGAGGTAATGTAAAATACTTAAAACTTCAAAACAAAAAATTTACAATATTTTTGGTGGTGCAATACCACATGCTACAAAAATTCGCACGTTCAACCAATTTTCCATCTATCGTAGTTTCATTGTTCTCTCACTGACTTCTAGGAGTTCCATATAAAAGGATGCCGATATTTCCGGCACCTCCGCGCGTATTCGTCAAAGTTCGTCCGCCTTTATCGAGATTGTTCGAACGTTTTCTCATCGCACGAGGGTCAATTAATCGCAAAACCGACTAGAGCAGCGCCAAATGTATCGGAAAGTGCATATCGAACGCGAAATGCGGTTCAAATGTACGGCACGATTTACACAAAGAGTGCTTAATTCGGCGAAACAATCGTAATCGATCGATCCGGGGGTTTTTAAACCGGCGGCGGCTGCGGGTCGGACCCGTAAACATCCATCTCTGCAGTTGCACCGTCGGCAATTTCTCTAGTTCGCTGCAACGCGCAGCCGAGCGTCTTTTTTTTTCGTCTAGTTCTTCGAATCGGCGCATCAATCACAGATAGACGTTCTCTGACGCGCGAAAATTTTACCGATATCGCCCTAACGGTATACGGGACTGTTCTTTTGATGTCGGTCCCCCGGGGAGATATGTAAAAGGGCTTTCGATATGTTTGCCCCGATCAGCGATTTACGTCTGCCTACATCCGGGCGCGGGATTTTTAATATCCGACCGATATATATTAAATTTCAACCCCCGAGATTTGTCGATACTGATTTATGACCTTTTCGACCGAGAAAAGGGGCGGTAGCCTTCAAGACGCATAGGAGATCGATTACTTAGAAGGGAAACTAAATTTGCGATTGATAATAAGTTGAATTTATTAAACGGAACCCTTCCAGGTAACCCAATATTTTGTTATTTCAAAAAATATATATTCCTGTATTCTTTTTTTCTCACTCGAAGTCAGCTACTGGAGCACGAGCGTGCAAATTCAATTTTGGCGCTGCCCATCGAGGGCCTCTTTTAACTCAGCTTCGTCGTTAAACCGTCGTCCACGTAAGTCCTTTTTCAAATATCTAAACAAATAATAATCGCTGGGGGCCATATCTGGACTATAGGGAGGATGATCTATCTGTTGGAACCCACACTAAAATGGCAGCTTGTGCAACACCAGCAGTATGGACAGGTGCATTATCGTGCAAAAGATGAACGCTTCTGGTCAGTTTTCCTCGACGTTTTACACGTATGCAGTCTCGCAATTTATGTAATAATGTTTCGTAATATCTACCATTGACGGTGCTATTAGTTTCTTCAAAATCTATTAAAAGAATTCCTTCACAATCCCAAAAGATGGTGGCCATCACCTTTTTTGTTGACTGGCAGACTCTGAATTTTCTTGGAGGTGCGTCACCCTTACGACGACACTCCCTTGATTCTTTTTTCGATGGAGGGTCATAATAGGCTTCGGTTACGACCCACAGAGTTCCAAAAAAGACCGCGCACACTCGATACGGCGTTGTTTTTGAATAGCCGAAAGGATTTTAGGAAAACAGCTTGCACTAACCTTATGCATACCTAAATGATCATGCTGGATTCGACGAACATTTGTATCAGAAAGCTTAGTAATTTCTGAGATTTCCTTGACCTTTAAACAAGGTCGATCACTCAATGCCACCTCTTCCACAATCGCAACAATATCTTCCGTTATGACCTCCACTGGTCGACCCGTTCTTGAATCATCTTCAAGGGACTTTTGCCCATTCTTTCACTACAGAATACGAAGAAGAACTTTGACCGTACACACCATCCAGCCTTTCTTTAATAATTGTAGGTGCTAACCCTTCTTTTGTCAAAAACTTTATGACTGCTCTATACTCAATTTGCGTTATTTGCGACATTTTTTCGGACACGTCTATTTGACGCAAACTTCGCAGCCTACTAAGATATATATTTAAAAAAAGACAAAGTTTTATCGTGATACTGGAGCTGCATCTGCGTCAGGCCGGGAAATTTGTATCAAACTTATGGAAATGAATCTGCAATGTCTTTATTTATAAATTTCGCAGTTTTTTACATATTTTGTTGAAACCGTAATTGTATAATTGCCATTTTTTTCAAGAAAATTTTGTAAATGAAAAGGGCATACCAGCAGAGAAAGACTGTGCTATACCCTGGTTAAGGTCACTACGGATAGAAAAATGATTTCGATATGATTCATTTTTTTCTTATACGGGTGACATTTGTAATGTCAATTAAATTTTTCAGATTCTCGGTTTTTGCAAAACTTTTTTAAATTATACTTATTAATAGTTTTATACTAAAAGAACTCTAATATTTGTAGATTTTAGCATTTTGGCTTACGTTCCTATTGCAGTCGTCCCCGAGACGCGACTGGTTGGTATCCCGACTTCAGACATAGAAGACTTAAAGGACACGGTCGCCATTCGTTGCGTGGTCAGCGCGAACCCGAAGGCTTCAGTAGTGTGGCGTAGAGAAGGTCAGACGCAGCCTGCCAGTTTGCAGGAACTACTCCAATTCAGTCCAGCGATAAGGCAGCACTCGGGATTGTACACGTGCCATGCCAGGAACAAGGCGGGCGACTCTCAACCAGTTCGGGTCCAAGTGGACGTAAAATGTGAGTCTTTCAATATACATTCTTCATATAGTGCAGTAAATGAGAATAAATCATCACGTTCTAAGAGAAATGATCTAAGAAAAGTTTTTAGTAAATATGTTTATCATCGTATAGTAATTTTTTAATATTATCATTATGAACCGTCTGGATTTTCAAAGACAATTGACAGATTAAATCGTGACCCACTTTTGGCTGCCAAGTAGTTCCTTGATTTCGGTCTTAACAACTGCAAGCTTTTGCGAAATTACCTCACGGACAGAATCTGTAAAACTCACCTTTCAGCAAAGGCACATGAGACTCAAAAGTTCTTAATTAATGATAACTACAATAGATGCCAAGAATATCTATTAGAGAAGGTTAAATGTAGAGACGATGCTCATAATTTTTAATTAATTACTTAATTTTTGCATTATAAAGCTTAAGATTTAACTGCTATAAAACTCAAGAACTCTGCTCGTAACTCGACAGGTAGCTTCTTATTCTTCTCTATTATCGCCTACATAATGACCTCAACGGCACATTTCTTTAATGTGCTGTGGCCCAGTATTATTCTTGTCCTAGTTTTCCTTTTTCTCGGTTTTAAACCGGCAATGTGACGAGTGACAGTATCACAAACCTCTGGAGTTGGGATATGAGGTAGTCGCTGTTTTATCCTTATTATGCCGCTGATGCAGATAATGAGTGGTTACTTGATCTTCTCTCCACATATGCTTGGTCTTTCTCGTCTATTTACTTATTTATTGTTGCTTAAGCCCGATCCTGATATTGTTAGTAGTTTATTATATGGAAATATATGGAAAATAAAGAAAAATACATATCAATAAATTTATAAATAAATATTTTTTCTTCTCCGTGGCCTCAAATGAAAATCATAACGGGAAACTGCAGTAATATCTAATAACTAATATCCAGCATTTCATTTTTGTGGATTAGTGGGAACGGGAGAGAATATAGGCCCGGGCCTTTTTCCTTCCAGGACAGCAAGATTTATCGAGTTTTATCGCATGAAATCCGAAAGTGCAGCTCTAAATGACAACGTCCGTCGAACGGAATCATTAAAAACGAATTTCCATTTCCAGCGACGGCCGTCGATTAAGGGAAAAGGCTCGAAAGCGAAAATATGGCTTCGCCTTTTCCATCTTCCGGATATTAACGTTCGGTTTATGACGTAATGAAGCAGTGACGCGCCCCTGAAATAATCGACCGTCAACAAATTCGCCGAGTAAACTAAAATCTAAAGGTCGCCGCCATTAATTCGGAATACGTAGCGTAGTTAGTGTTAGCGTTCCATATTTATGCCTTCGGGGGAAGGGTAGAAGTTAATAATTTACACACATCGGAAACGAAGGCTGTCTTGGTGAATATCACCTAAGATAACCAAATACTGTATTAGCCAAATCAAACAACAAAGCAGGGTCAAGCTAATTGAAATACGTCTCTTTGTATTTTATTATACTCATTGATGATCAATTGATATTCTAGCTTTGAAGTGAAGGGAATCAGGGCAATAGGCGTAAAGAACTCCAATTTTACTGCCCATCGGACGGTCTAAATTTTTCATATGAACTATTAATATAACTCACAGAGGATATTATCTCTCCACCACTCTTATATATAATTTTCGATGTCTATGAGTAGATAAAAACAGGCAGCATGGGCCCAAACTCTTGAGGGTACTACTTGTCGTTGATGAAAAAAGAAATTGTGCAATAAAATCAATGCAATTCAAGCCAAAACTGTAGGAATCGCATTAATTATTGGTGGGTCACCCTGTACTCCTTTTGCATACCTTTAAGTTATTGTAGAAAACCATATATTTCACTAGCTTTCATTTTGTTGAAATAAATGTTTATTTAAAGAAACGCAGGTTTTCAAAAGGCTGCAAAAAACAAACAAAAAAGATACACTAGAAGGTCTTGGAGTCAAGTCACACGATCGAGGTGGGTGGTTTCGAAAACTCTCACCTAGCAGGGCAATTATTTCTGCTGAAGGAACCAAAAATTTTCTAAATGTTCGTTGTTTCCAATCGCGGCCATAGGAAGTCGGTGGGCATTGCTCAATAAAAAACTCCATTAACGGTGACCGCATTCCCTTCTTCGTCTTCAAAAAGGAATGAGCAGATCAGATTTCTCCGGATTCTCTTGTTATATGCTTCCAACAATATAAAACAAAAATGGCGACTCTTTCTAATCCAGCCTTTTTCTTGAGTCGCCCTTCAGTAGGAATGATTTACTATTACCTCTATAGTAGGTATCGTTGTAGGATTCTGTGCCATTAAGATTAGAGGGGAATTCGTTAGTCTTGTCGCCACCCGTTGGCGCGCTCCTGAACTCGTAAAATGGTGTGCTTTACGATCGGTATCAGATTGACCGTAAAACGTTCATTTAAATAAGTGATTTCGCTGCAAAAACAGAATTTTAACGGTTTACATTATTTCATTTAAAACCGCGTAGGGTAATTTACGGTGCTGCCGTGGGGCTGAATTTTACCGCGGTAAGCGAGTTTTGCGCTGTTGGTCTACTTTTACAGCGAAATTTATTAATTGACAGTACGCAATTTTCAAGCAAAAGAACATCATATTGGCAGCTGTTAACGTTATCGTTATATAAAACGTGTGTTAGTGAATAGGTCATAAAATGAGAGGAAATACTATATAATAGAAATGCGTGGGGTCTCGGCGGGGCAATACGCCCGTAATTGGATTGCTGGGGGGCTGTTATTTTATATTTGCCGAATTTACGATTCTGTGCGAGACGACCGGCATTTTAATTTGTCCCGGGTAATCCGTTTTCAGAGTCACGTAAATACGTCCCTGCGCAAAAAATCTCGAATTTTATTGTAATTTTTTAGAAGTTTCTAGAGCAATTGCGATTCCTTGCTTTAGTTCGGCCTCTGAAGGGTTTTGCATTTGATTTACTTTTATATGGCATAAGGAGGGGATCGGAATGAGGTTGCAATACAAAAGATTTAGCCATTTGATATGTAGTCGTATAGATGCCGCTAAATTATGCAACATCCAGAAACGTCTGTCATTCTATATGTCTTTTAATAAAAGGAAAGATTAAAGATAAGAAAAGACCCGGAAGAAAAATATAAAGCAGTAGTGTAAGCATAGAATAAGATAAATTTTAGAACAGCCGTCAATGAAGTGTTGGTAGCCAATGTCAGATCATTTGTTCTAAGTTTCAAATTCATGATGATAATTATTAGACTTAACATAAAACATAAAATAAAGTTACAACGAACATAATTAAACCAACATGTTCGAACAAGCCAGTTAACACGTCGATAAAAGCTAAAAGATTAATAAAAAAGAAAGTGAGCGGATAAAAATGAAGACAGACTGAGCCTAACTAACCAAAACTAACCTAAAAAACTTGCCTTTATTTGAATACGAATAGTACGAAAGACATTATTTAATAAATCTCTTTCCGTGCCAAGTCTTTGTATTCCTCTACTGAAAGAAATAGTGCAATCAAAGCAAGGAATTCATTTAAAAATATTGGTGGGTCTGTGTACGTATTATACTATTGAGGCACCAAATGGAACGTTCGAACACAAAGTGTTCCCTATCCAAATTACGAAATTGTTTCTTGACTATTAAAGCCATAAATTGTTCCCTCGAGGCAAGTTTACCACAACTATGCCCGAGTGAGATGCTCCTTGCTAGTTCAATTAGAAGAACCGCTTAATTCCGGTTTATAAGAGCGACAAACATGTCGCGATTTGTTGCTTGGTTTATGTTTATGGCATAACGTCGAGATTACATCGAAAAAAAACATAGTGTTACTTACAAGCGGTAAAGCGACATCTTTACAGGCTGTAAGAAGAAATGTGTAGAAAAATAATGAAATTAATGAATGAATTAGTGTTTCGCAGGGAAACGTCTACTTTCAGGTCTCTATTAAAGATAACTCAATATTCCTAGATTGTTAAAAAATATATTTTTTTCAACACGGTCACCATTTTACAGACGTACAAAAGCACGAAAGTAAATGAAAAATATCTCTTTATGAGCAATCAACCCAGAAAGAAACGCTTCACGGTCCATACTGGTCAGAACTATCACACAATTAAAAAATATTATTGTAAACTCTTACCGATCTTTTTCTCTACACGAAGCCGAAGTGCAAACAAAACATAGAAACACTTACGTTCATAGAATTAAAATAAACAGCAACAGTTATCGACGGTAGCAAATGTAACAATTTCAGTAACAACGCTTCCTTAGCGCGAAACCGATACAAGGCAGAGTGGCATCCAATTTATCGGGTTTGTTGTCGTGCAAACGTAACTGCAAAGTAACTCGAGTAATTAAAAGCAAGCAACGTGATTATCCAGTTTCACAGATATTCGAGGAAATGTTTTGTTCGATTATACACTGGCAATCTGACAGGTATCCCTTTAATGGATTGTTATTTAGGTTCTTTTGTCGCGTTGTTCAGCGCACTCGTCAGGCTAATGAGTTCCATAATATTTCCAAGTATCTTTTAAGGTCAAATCAGTAATTATAAACTTATTTGTCACTTATTATCACCTTTACTACCAATAAAAATGGTCTACTGTTGGTCCTCTTCTCTTTGTCATGTCGGCTGGTTGTGCCTCCAGTTTTTAGAAAGAAGAGTAGAGTGTATTAAAGATCCACAGAAAATTTATTATCTGCTTAAACGTTATATTTTTGCCCCATCAAAATCAAATTTATCGCCTTGATCACATCACTATTTTTAACTAGAAGCATTTAAGGCGATAAACTCCTATCCTGTCTGACTGATGATCGTTAGCATCTCAATCGGAAATTAAGAAAAAATAATTTCAGAAAAGGACTAACTTCTTGTTAACAATTTCTCAAAAATAAAGTTCAGAACGTTCTAGACAAAATCCAACTGCTTTCATTATACAGAGCGTGCATAATCTGTGTGACACAACTACGTTCCAGGTAAATTATGATTTTTTTACTGAACCATCGGTTAGTTTCTGACAACATATTTAAAATGAGGCAAAATTTAGAGAGTGGTAGAGTGTGGTTTATTCACTTGCTAACCTTAATTACGTCGGTGTCAAAAGGGAGGGTGTAGTCAATACGACAGAAGGAAGGGTGATCAAATTAGCCCTTATAATTAGAGAAAATTGCTAATCTGTAAACTTGGCTCCTCGGGAACCGTGCGTAAACTAATATGGCCGAGATACTTCACCTCTCATTACGGACGTTAAGTCATTACCGGAGCTCAAAGTTAGGAAGTAATCGAAGTCGAATGCGGAATTTGAATTCCGGGGTTGTTTGGTTAGGACCGCCGGATGGTCGGTTTATAGTTCTGACGTTTGGAAGGGATGGGGTTTCACGTCGAAAGGTTATGTCGGCACTGGGTGCTATGATTAATAATATTTGTCCACTCAATAGACCCTAAAATTGTTCGAAGATTCATTTCGGCCCAAATTTTCAAAATGTTTTACCAGGAAACAAATTGAAATTGTGCTAAAGTTTTTGGATGGGTGGATATGGATGCATATGAGCCACATAACACAAAGCAGAATATCTATATTGATGGCGGTACTCAAAACATAGGAACTTATGGTTTTGTATCTTTTGTTTTGTCTGCAGGATTCCGGTCGTAGTTCAACAAGCGAACGGATGATATCCCGGAATATTTTTTCAACATATATATATATATATATATATATATATATATATATATATATATATATATATATATATATATATATATATATATATATATATATATATATATATATATATATATATATATATATATATATATATATATATATATATATATATATATATATATATATATATATATATATATATATATATATATATATATATATATATATATATATATATATATATATATATATATATATATATATATATATATATATATATATATATATATATATATATATATATATATATATATATATATATATATATATATATATATATATATATATATATATATATATATATATATATATATATATATGCTTGGTGGTGCTGCTTGTGCGGGAGGGGAGGTGGCTCCGCCCCCCGAATTGTCGCGTTGTTAATTTCGCCCGATCGTAGTTGCGATGTCCCCGTTGGCTGCTGCGTATCGCTCTGCTGTTTGATTATCATTCTCCACGTATTGGATAAATGCAGAGCGTCGTCTCTCGTATTCAGGTATCCGGACTTTTCTATCTCGATGGCCTCTCGTATAATCCTAGTCTTAAAATCAGGAATTTATTTATTTGCAAGTACCGAAATCAATTTTATGGCCTGTCTGATGTTGGTGCTGAAACAAAGCAGGTGTTGTTTGTTTGTTTCTTATGGCTAAACGATGTTCCTCGAGCCTGGCTGAATTCCTTCTGTTGGTCTGTCCCACATACGTCAGGCTGCACGATCCGCATGCTACACTGTATACTCCTTGGTTTTCCAGAGTACTTTTTTGTTTTGGGTTTCTTAGTATTGCTCCGATGGTATGATCAGGTTTGTATGCCGTTGATATGTCGTGTTTCCGTAATATTCGGCCGATTTTGTCAGTAACCCCTTTGATGTATGGCAGGACAGCGATTGATCTTCGTTGGGTCTCGTCCTGCACTCTCTGCTGCGGCTATTGTTGTTTACCGATTGCATTGCTGATGATGCGCCTTTGGTATCCGTTTTGTCGAAGACAGGTACTAATTTTTTTCAGTTCTTCATCTCTGTTCGTCTCGTTTGTGAGCCTGAAGGACCGAGCAATTAATGTATTTGCCACTGCCTGCATCTGTGATGGGTGGTGATGAGATTTAGCGTTCAGATATCTATTAGTGTGTGTTGGTTTTCTATTGACAGTGTGTTCCAAATGTCCGTCTTCGGTCCTTGCGGTGTGCACATCTCACAATTTCAGATGATCTAGGAATTTCAAAAGCTCCTCCTTGCCAAAAGGCCATACAACAAATACGTCATCAACGTATCTTGTCCATAGTTTTGGCTTCAGATTTGCCTTCTCTATTGCTTTCTTTTCGAAGTAAATCATGAAGAGGTTGGCAATCACAGGTGAGAGAGATGATCCCATTGCTGCTCCATCTATTTGTCGGTAAATTTTCCCGTTGTACATAAAGTAAGCATTTTTCAGGCAATGTCTTGACAGATATATTAAGTACGGCGGAAGATCTTCGTTTTCTTCTATAAGCAAGAGTGCCTCTTCGACTGGAATGCTCGGATAGAGAGATTTGACATCGAAACTTGCCATAATGTCGTCCTTGTCCATCCTGAGAGAACCCAAAATCTGAGTGGTTCCCGGAATATAGTGTCATCACATTTTTCAATCCGTGAATCAATACGTGAAAAAAAAAAAAAAAAAAAAAAAAAAAAAAATATATATATATATATATATATATATATATATATATATATATATATATATATATATATATATATATATATATATATATATATATATATATATATATATATATATATATATATATATATATATATATATATATATATATATATATATATATATATATATATATTGAAGATTTGCTTATGTAACTTGATTTACTTGTTTGCATTTCTTTATTTATTTATTTTCTTGCATTGTACGGGTTTGTTAATCTTTTTTTATTCTTCTTCTTCTTATATTATAGTTTAGAATAACATTTGACTTAATAATTAAAAATTGTGGTGAATTGTTCGATGTATAAAGTATTTTGTCTGTTCGAAATACTGAAACAATTCTTTTCTTTTAAAACGTGGGATAACAAAACTATTATTTATATTTATAAGTAAAAGGTATTTATGAAGTTCTTGGCGTTAATTCTTATGGATGTTCTGTTGTACTATAGCTTACATAGAAGAAGTATAAAGCATTTAAAATTAAAGGTTTTCTAAAATATATTCATAGACTTATGATCTGCTGTTCGACGGTTTAGATATAAAAATGGCGCCAAAACTCACATTGTATTATGCGATGTAATATGTTCCCGGTTTATCTAAAGTTCAGTTATGCGAAACTAAAGTTGTTCATTAACGAAAATTTTTGAAATAGTTAGGATCGATCGTATTCCGTTAAGAGTATAACATGTACGAAAGGCTTAACGAGCGACAAACTTTACGTATAGAAAGTTTTCGAAAATTTCCGCGAGGCGGACGTCAATTTTCCGAAAAGTTTGTTAGCGCAAAAACCGCCATTCCGCTAAAATATACAGGCCGCGTCAGTCAATTCGGAAAATTAACCGCGGATTCCCATGTCGCGCCAAAATTTATTATTTGTCGCTAGCGTCTTGGGCGCGAAAGAAGTTTCGTTTGAAACTCCGCACGTCTGATTAAAACTTCCGCTACTTCCTGCCTAGATGTGGCGCACGAATTTTCACGTACCATTGCTGCAGTTTCCAATTATCATTATACGTGTTATTATTACGTAACGAACTAAGAAGAATTTTCACGAAATAAATAGCTGTGGAAAAAAAACTCGCTCGTTGGTCCTTACCGCCGTCAACCACGTGACGTCCAAATTCCGTGAACATTGTAACGTTAAAATGACTTCCGAATATATGCAATTACCCGACGAATACAATATACTTATATTTATCTTAAACCTTCTTCAAGCTTCTTTCTTTCAATATATTTTCAATGTCTTAGTCCCATGTTTGTTGCGGTCTTCCTGTGTTGCTTCAAGCTTCAAGATATTTTGAATTGATCTATCGTTGTCAGTTGCCCGTACCAACGTTGTTGACATATCTCTATGTTTCAGCACTGGTTGTTGTCTTTATATAAGTTTTTTTGGATTTTGTCTCTTCTTGTGTTACCCAGGACCCTTCGTAGCTCTGGATCTTGATTTTTGCTTTCTTGGTCAGCTTGTAGATGGTTATTTTTGTTTTAATCGATATCTCTTTCTTTTCTGTGAAGGTTGATTTTAAAGATTCGGTGCACTTTCAATTCTCCCGTATCAGGTGTTTGTATCCCACAAGAAACCCGGATATTCTTGTGTTTGTTTTTATTATTACATCGTCCATAACTCGGTTAAATAGCAGTTGACCCAAAGTGCGATCCTGTCTAACACCCTCGATTACTGGGAAGTAAGCCGATTGCATGTAATCAGTTTTTGATATGATCTTATTTTCGTCAAATTGTCTTTTTAAATTTTGCGTAAGTAAAAATTGACATACAGAAACTGTTGATTTATGTATACTATTTTCATTGCACGAAGCGCTTAATGTAAACAACTTTTGAATTTAAATTTTTTATATATAACAAATTCTTAAAAACCCTTAAAATATAACTTTCAAAGTTTTACACCAGTCGAACTTGATACTACTAAAACTAGAACTGAAAATGAAATGTAGATCATTTAAAATTTGTGATGCGCTATCACTTGGATATAGCTTAGCCTGCTATCTCAGAATCTTTATAAATGTTTCTTTAAGCTCTTTACAAAATTACTTCTACAAAAGTTTGCTATGCCAATTTAAATCGGCGCTCCCTTCCTCCTCAGATCCGCCGAAGGTAGTAAGCGTAGGTAGAGAACGCGTGAAGACGGCAACCCTGTTCTCCCCTACCACTTTCGAGTGCCTGGGCGAAGGTAACCCGCCGCCTACTTACCAGTGGATTTTAAAGAAAACGACGCCTGCGCCTGACGTCATCATCGGACGCGAAGCTAAGCTCCACATTAACAACATCACCTACGAGTATCAGGGCGAATGGAGGTGTAAAGTAACCAACATTATCAAAGGGGAGGAGAGGAGCGAAATCAGCGAGCCTATCATCCTGCAAGTGCACGGTAAGGTCGAGATCTGACGTCGTTCGAGTCTACAGCATTGTTTTTGTTGTTAAAGGCGCTCCCCAAGTGTTGAGACAGTTAGTAACGCCAGAAGTACTCGTGGAGAGCGGACACCCCGTGGATATGAGCATGGTCGTGTGCGCAGATCCTCGACCGAGAACCGTCGCTTGGGAGTGGGGATCGCTGAGACTCGAGGCTGGATCTGAAATGGGTCTGTAACCTATGGTGTAACGTTAATAATGGATTTAAGAATAATCAGCTTGATAAAGATTAACTAACTAACCAAAACTTTAATTAAACATCGATTTTGCTAGGAATTTGACCGTTAGATAAAATTCCACTCCAGGTTAGATAAACTCGTGTTTATTTGATTTTTATACAAGTGCCTTAAGAACAAAAAGTCGTTCAGCATAAAAGCTAGGACATTGAGAGATGGTTTATTAGTTTTCATTTAATTTTCAATTTCTGCAGGGAAGTACAAAGTCGATGACGTCTCTCAAGAAGATAGGGAAGACTGTTACATCACCACCCTTCATATAAGAGAGGCGTCGGCTACTGATTCTAGAGCGTACTACTTAGTCGTCGAGAACGATAGAGGTACAGATAGGCATGCCGTGCAATTGTATGTGAAAGGTAAGGATGGTACGTAGATTTTTTTTGAGTTTTTGAATTTTTGTATGGTATGTATCCTACATATTTTGTTTATTGATAATATAATAAGTAAATAAAAATAAAAACAGTTATGGAGTTGATATGTCTGCGAAAGTGACATAGAAAAGTTCTTTTTAAATTCCAAAATATAAAATTTGGAAACTTCTATTTTGAATAACAAAGATTCTGGTGCCACATAGATCATTATTGGGCGCGGGGTACCTTTTTAGCTTAATTTCTTCTGAATTCTCAATTTTTTGGTTTAGTAATATATTTTATTTTTCTTCTGGATTTTATGTTCATATGTGTATTTCTGTACTTGTAGCAGCCGCCATTTTTTATTCCGCTTAGCTTTTTTGTTTCAAATTTATCTATCTCCCTGTTTTTAGAAATGTGACCATATCAATAACTGCGTTTTATTGATTTTTATATTTTTGTAAAAGTTTAAATGTTATTATCATTATTGTTATATCGTCGTGACTAATAGTTAGGAAATCGACCAAGAGCAATTGCTGGATGTTTTCCTATTCCCATCGTTAGGTTAAACAATCTTTACTGTGTGATATAAAAATGTTGCATTTTGTTTGGACAAGAATCTTATTGATTTATTTATTTGGCAAGTCCATTAATTTTATTTTATCGTAATATTTTAAATGAAACATTAAATTCACCTCCTTCAAATTCGAAAAATTGGTTAAATTTGGAATTTCGGTACTCCCGTAAAATTAAAAACCATCCAGCTTTATACGCTGTTTCCAGCAAAAGAATTCGAAAATTTTTAAAGTAATTAATCTGTCTAAGAAATTAATCAAAACTGTTTATACTGTAACGTATGAATTTACAATAAACAAAAATGGTACGACCTGTAAAATATTAGAAATAACAAAATTCGTTTACCCTGCAGTAATAATTTTAAGTTGGGATGTTTTTTATCCATATCAAATACAAAATGGTTTCAGAAATATCGAATTAAAGATATCCCTGCTATTTGACATTTGAACAGGCTAACAGCTGTAATCACAGTGACAGGAATTTATTTTGCCCAAATTGTATCTTAATGTTGTTGTAACAGTAATTGGGACAGTATGACGCACTGCTTCTAAGGCCAGTTTATGTCCAAATTTAATCAGCTCAAGCAAATTCGAACTGTAGCCCAATATAATCAATAGTCAATTTGACGTAGAGTAGAAAGAAGAAACACAAATAAGAAGAATGAAGAAGTGTTAAAAATTCTAGTCTGCTTTAAACTTATTTTATACTCCAACTTTTTTTTGAGAAATGAGAGGTTTCCTTTTCTTAGCGAAATAAAAACAGCCCCCGATTCTAACCAACAAATCCCGCTCGCATTACCAGAATGCACAACCCGGGATCAGATTAAAAGCTCCCACTTTCCTTTGGAAATATTCCGATATATATTCAAAAAGTACGTTTTATCTCGATTCCGCTCAAAGTCGGTTGCCGGCGTTAAATAATAAGGTCTCTCGACTTGGAACGGAATAATATTCACCCAGTCAGAAATTAAAATGGAAACGTCTACCGCACTCTTACTCGAATATAGCGGTAGCGACCTTTAGCGAAATTGAAAAATTCAATCTTAGGTACTACGGCGATCCTATATTTTTAATTTTAAAATGTCCCACCGGCTGTCAGTCGACATTTCCCGATGCAGACGCGAACTTCCATTATACTGATTGCGCCCGACCAAGTAAAATAAGAAATCTAAAATATGATAAGAAAGTTTTTTGATTCTATTTATCCCCGATCGTTGAAGGAAGTACAATCGCACGGCAATTACGAGAGAGTAGTAAAATATTAACAACTAACCTAAATACAGGGTTATTATTTTCGATGTATAGAACTTTAAGTTGGCATTACTGTTCAAGATAGAGATCGACAGCTGTCAAGTGATTTATTCTCAGTTTGGTTTGGCAATTCATCATGAATAGACTCACGCCTGAACAACGTTTGCAAATAGTGCAATTTTATTTCGAAAATGATGGTTCTGTGCGGAATACGTATCGCGCACTACGTTTATACGTATGGGACTAAAACGAGATTGCCGTTGTTCCCGATTTTCATAAGCGAATTTTGTTTAGCGACGAAGCGCACTTCTGGTTGAATGGCTACGTCAACAAACAAAACTGCCGCATTTGGAGAGAAGCTAATCCTCAAGTGTATGTCGAAACACCGTTACATCCAGAAAAACTGACTGTTTGGTGCGCTTTATGGGCTGGTGGAATCATTGGTCCGTACTTCTTCAAAAACAATGATGGCCAGAACGTTACAGTCAATGGTGATCGGTATAGAGCTATGATTACTAACTCTTTCATTCCTGAATTGAATAACCATGATGTCCAGGAGATGTGGTTTCAACAAGACGGCGGAACATGTCACACAGCTCGTGCCACAATCGATTTATTGAAAGACACGTTTGGTGACCGCCTAATTTCACGTTTTGGACCTGTGAATTGGCCTCCAAGATCTTGTGATTTAACACCGCTAGACTACTTTCTGTGGAGCTATGTTAAGTCATTGGTCTATGCGGATAAGCCACAATCGCTTGACCATGTGGAAGACAACATTCGTCGTGTTATTACCGATATACGGCCACAAATGTTGGAAAAAGTCATCGAAAATAGGACGTCCAGATTGGACTACATCCGCGCCAGCCGTGGCGGTCATATGCCAGAAATCATATTTAAAATGTAATGCCACAAGGTTATCTTTCGTATAAATAAAATTCATGTCAATCGAATAATCCATCGTTGTTTTATTGCAACTTAAAGTTCTATACATCGAAAAAGAACACCCCTTATAACAGAGCCGGATGCAAAGGTTTTCCTGATTAATGCAATTTAATATATCACTAAATGGATGATGGTCAATTTTTTCTGCGATATTATTGTAGTAAAACTTTTAAAATTTCAATCAATAATTGCTTGAAGATTGTATTAAATTGTATTTGCCAATTTAATACATCCAACAGGTGTCTGAGGAATCATGGGCAAATAAACTAGGTAAAATAATAATAATAATAATACATTAATTATGCAGTAAAAACAAATTAAAACAAAAACTTATCTTTTAAATAAAACAATACGATAACGATTTATTTATTTATCTATTTATTTACGGTTGAACCAATTTACAGAACTTTACATTCATTAAAGGCAAAGAAACAGAAAGAAAGCAGTATAACAGCTAGAGTCCAGAACAAAATATAACTATAACAATAGATAGAATTAAGTGGTAGCACTCAAACGGAACACATCAGAACGAAATGAGTGGAGATTGCCTCCAAAAGGATCAGGCTTTAGATAGTATGCGGAACATTGTATGATACTTAAAAGAGCTGGACAATAATACCTACAATTCAGAATCTTAAAGAGAAAAACTAAATCACTCTGAAATCTTCAGGTTTGAAGAGTGTCAACATTGAAGGCCATAGATATAATAGTGTAGTTAGCCTGATAAGCATTTTTGAAGCCAAAGATCTTAAAAATAGTTTCTGCTTCGATGGCATGAAGACCATATCACCGATGCATACTCCTGTTTAGAGCGAACCAAAGATATATAAAGGAGTTTAGAGCAATGTGGAGTAAGTTGGCCACTATTGCGTACAACAAACCCAAGAACTCGCATAGACCTGTTTACCACTTCCGCAAAATGTGTCACAAAACTTAGTTTAGAATCGAAGAAAGTACCCAAGTCTCAATCTCGACTCCATCAATGCTATATCGGCTGTGAACCACATTCAGCGAACGACTAAAGCTAATACGACAGCATTTTTTGACATTGAACGCAAGATTATTAATCTTAGACCACATGCAAACACTGTCCACGTCCCGTTGAAGCAGCAGAGCATTCTCGCGCGATCCAACACTCCTAAATATCTTCAAATCATCCGCAAACAAAACACACTACGACTCCGAAACTACACTAACAATATCATTTATAAACTAGTTAAATAGAATGGGTCCAATGTGAGAGCCTTGGGGGACTGTCGAAAAAATATCAATTATACCTTTTAATACAAACCAACTGACCAGACCAGACAGTAAACGCTGAATCCACTGCACCAGCCCAGCTCCCAGGCCCATAGCTCTAAGCTTAGAGACAAGATGCACATCACCCGCCCGATCAAACGCCTTCGAGAAATTAGTGTAGACGCAATCCACCGCACCAAGCCCCTCAAAGTCGTTCAATAAAAATTATTGGTAGTTGAATAAATTTGTTATGGTAGATCTACCCTGTACAAATCCATGCTGTTGTTCAGCCACAAAATAACTTATTTAGAGTTTAGGAACCACCAACTGTATGCAAACCCCTCTATAATTAGCGAAAACGCTCTTATCACCATTCTTGTGAATCGGTACCAAATAGCTAACCTTCCAAAAGTCAGGAAAAATATCTGACGACGCAATTCTTAATGAAGATTAATGGAATCCCGTCCGGCCCATGCGGAAGTCCAGCCTATAAGTTCATAATACTCTCATATGTATGTAGATATGTAGATGGCGCTGCGCGAATAGTCACACAATTCCGTGCGCTCCCTAAATAAAAGTAAATTTTAATGGTTTATCATAAAATATTTTTCTTACAGTGTCTTAATTCTTTAAGTTTAGTGCCTTTGGAAATGTTTAAAGATTTTCAATTGCATGCCTATTTTAATCTACGCTTGAATATGTAGCAGGAGCTAATCAAATTTTCAATATTAAAAGAGAAATGTTTTAAAAACTTTCCGGCCATGTGTCACTGTACAGTTAGTAGTACAGTGCCGTAAATTCAAACTCACTCTAAATGAAACTTTATTATATAGATAAGGAAAGCAATTCTTTTTAATTATGGTATAATAAGAAGATACCATATGCAACTTAAATCTGTTTTGCATATTAAGCTTGCAAATCTATAAGAAATAAGTAACCTTACTTATGAGTCAAGACAAGTGAAAAAACTTCACGGCAGTGATTTAACGGAGCTAAAATCAAGAAGTTTGATTTCTCGTGATAATCAATTGTCTGTGGGAGTAAATTAGTTTTATAAGAAACATACTTCCCAAATCAAAGTTTACACTCTAGATACACGCCCAGGTCTTTAGAAGCATCGCAAAATTGCAATAGTAATAAGTAATAAGTAATAAGTTATATCGGAGTGAAACATTCGTTAATTCATCGATGGTTACTGTCATCAAAAGACGTAGTTATATAAATTGGTGTGTTCTGCATATAAATGACCGATGAAATTGGCAGTATCGTGGGACAGTATGGGTCTCAGGATATTGCCTTGAAGTACTCAGGTACGCTTCGATCACAAGCAAAGAGACTAAATCTAGACTCGTCAGCCCCGTGGTTAATCATATTTATACTAAGTCGGATTCATTATAACCTTAGGAACTACAATCCTCAAAAGAAATTTTTTTAAACTCAATCGTTGTGGCTTCTTTATTCACACGTTGCTCAGTACTGTTTTGCAAAAACGTATCCAAAATACAACATATGCCAACACTCCGATAACTCGATCGCTCCGCTCATGTCAAATCTAAAAAAAATTCTACAATGCCTTGTGTCAAACTTGTTGCATAATATATACTATTTCAACTCATATTTTGGAAGGCTTTACGGCCTCCCGGGAAACGTCCTCCGTTTTTAGTGTGATTTCCACTTCGAAAGTGACTTTTTTCGCTTCTGTTTTTAAAACGCCGACATTCATTTCTTTTGTCGTTCGTCGTGTCGTTTTACTTTATCATCTCGCGAGGCCGTCGCTTTTATTCGCAAAATAAAAGTTATTCGCAGTCGCGTCGAGACGCGTAAACTTTTGCTTTCCTTTCGAGCGATGTGTTTCCAGGGGCAAGATTGAGCGTTGTCGCAAGTAAATGGACCGAAAACGGATTTAAATCTATTCCCCGGTCGCCGAGATAGATTCGAATAAAGGCAATTAAGCGACCCTTATTATTTAAGGGCGGATAAATAGAGCGAGTTGTTTTCCTGCCGAAAATCGACCGGGTTGCAGGAGACGAATCATAGATATTTGGTTAGAGGTACTAGCAAGGTCAAACCTCAAGTGCGACGAAGTTAATTAGTTAGTTTTAAGTTTCCACGGTATATACGCTTGCTGATTGAAGTCGTACAATGTCAACACGAAAAAATAATAAGATCTCATCAATCTTCGTTACACTGGAGATTTAACCAAATGAGCAATGAAATTTTTGGTTATCCGCGCAACTAAACATTTAAATCTTTATAAGTTAACCTTTAGCAGTGTCAGTTCAATTAAACAATAATTTAAAGAAAAAAGATGTATTATTATATTGATTGAATGAACAGTATAAAATTAAAACATACTCCTATATGTCGTTAACAGGAAGTGAAATTGTGTTAAATACAAATTAGAGTAGAAAAGGTATTAAAACCATTTAAACGCTTTTTAATAAATAATAATAATAATATTAAATTAATTAATCATCGCAATGCATTTGTGCTAATTTGTGGTTTCAAATCTGACTGTGCCTAGAAAACCCAGAACAATACAATCTAATAATGACAACGTATCTGCAACCTATTACATCATAGAATATACAGCTTAGTTTAGGCACTATTTAACATTTGACAAACCGTTGTCGGCAATATTACTCGGTAAATTCAATTATGTGCTAACGGCACCATTTCATTATATGCGTTACTATTTCCAACGTCCTCATGGCGCATACCTACTCGTAATACTTGTTTCAGAACCGCTGCAGATGGGTACCTTGGTGAGCGTCGCCGGGGCCTTGCTCGTTGTGTTTCTAATTCTGATATGTTCCTGCATATACGCGATACGTACCGAGAAGTGTTGTTTTTCAAGTGAGTATTCACACGTTGTCGTTTTTTTTTGTGTTATCACATTTTACTGAAAATGCGGATAAGCTTAGGTGCCTACGAAAATATCTTGTTTGTTCTAAATTTTTGTAAAAAATTTAACGAACTTCTTCCCAGGGAAAGAAATCGCAAACGTTCTAAAGTTGGTAAAATAAGTCTCTTCTAATTGAGAATTTCAAATTTCTGAGATATGCTGTGTTCTAACTGAGTCCTATCCATCATTCCATGAAACTAAGTTTTCATGAGTTTTAAATATCAGCAATCAATAGTCGATTAAATGTATTCATATTTAATGAACCTCTCAGGTTTATATATGGCTTATATATCCTACTGTCGCTCCATCTAAGTATGAAGATGTGAAGAAATAAAAGTATAATCTAGCTTTTGCACTAAACAAAAACAAAACACGAACTTGTGTCGAATAAAAAAAAAGCAACTTTTACCATACTTTTCAAATACTGGCGTGTTTTGCAAACAATTCATCTTGCTCTTTGCGGGCCTCTTTTGACACAAGACTAGGAGACACGGTTCTTGTCTTGTCTTTCGACTTGTATTTGGGTTTGTTAATTTCGATATGAATTTTTTGCCAAACTGGTGAGTAAGGATAGTATAATTAAAGTTTTTTATAGACAATGAACGAATAAAATAATAAATTTAATATTTTTTACATTCATTTATATTTTATATTATATTTATTTATATTTTTTATATTTATATATTACTGGCGAGGCAAAAGCTACAGTTCATATTAAAAGCATCGCAGTATATCCCTATATATCTAAAACTCATAAAATTCTTTTCTCTGGAAAATATTCAAAAACGACATAAGTAAGAGACAACGTAGTTCGCGTAATCAATTTTTTTTGTCCTTTTAAGTTCTAAAACACATGAATTTGACTTTGCGTTTGGTGAAAAACCAGCTTAAAGGACAAAAATTTCAGCTCATCAATTTCCCAATGTATCTCCTTCTTAACACTTCGTATTGGGCTTTAACTGAGATTTTTTAACAGAAACAGAGAGCTTAAGATTTACGCAAAAAAAAAAAAAACATGAGATACGAAAAGCGAATGTTGTGCGAACAGGCAAAAGTACACGCCTTTTATATACCGTCCGACGTTATCAACCTACATCGTTGAAACAGACACGTAAAAAGGGCATTTTCAGACCGATGTGTCGCGATAAAGGAGGTGTTAATATACTTCCGAGACGTAAGCCCGTCCGACGTTGTTGCAGTTTTTTATCGCCCAATAAAACGGAGGGATAGCGATATTTATTATTTACAAGGAGAAAAAAGGGCCACGTCATTCGAACGCCTTCGGGTTGTTTTTCTCTGCCGTCTATAAAAAAAGAGACGGATTTCGCACCCTCCGTGTATAGAAAAAATAAGAATCCACTTTTAAACATGGCCGCCGTGAAATCACGGGAACGTCAGAAGTAATGTGGACGGCCGGAAAGAAGCAGACAAATCGCAATGTTGGCAGAAATTGTAGTAAATCTTTTTAGCTACACCAGAAACTAAAGTTTAAGAAGCTCTAAAAGGACTATAAAAATAGCAGAAATCCTAGAATAAAGGCTACACGAATTGTTCACGAGTACATTGTAGCCAAAACCAACATTTGTAGTCCAGCTTCAATAATTACTGATTTGAAACACATGATCTTTGTGTTAACTTACCCTCATAATGAAGGAAATGTAAATTAGCTACGTTTTTAATGAGTTTATGAGTTTAATGAGTTTATAAAAATGACGAATACAGAATTTTGCATATCTTGCAGTAGATGAGTACAGCCGGTTTTAGAGTTGATATCAATCAATTAATTATTTTCTAAAGTAATACATGCCCAGTAAATAATATCTACCTACCCCAGGTTCGATAATATTAGACCATAATACAATTTTAATCTAATCTCCGTGGTGAGGATGTTTTTGAGCATCTCAAACATCCACATTCTTAAGACTGATTTATTTATTAATGACGTCACGTGGTCATCTTACCTTAAATTAACAACCTTAAATACAACAACTTCCACATGAAGTAACCAGGCTATATAAAAATTACAGTTATTGGGGACACTAGTGCCAATCATTAGGAGCTCAAGATAACCAACGTATTATGTTTAAATCTTGTGACATTCAACATTTACATTATCATTATATAGTGAATCTGTACGTCGTCGACGTATTTATAAGGCCGGCAATATTTAAGACACATATAAAACTCTGCCGTATAGCTAAATATAAAGAACAATAACTGAGCCAACACACTCCCTCCTTAGTATAAAGAAAATACCATTCTCTCGAACCGACCCTCCAACTAACTCTCAAAGAAATGTACTGCTGAATTGCTGTGCCAAAAATACTGCAATTTCTTAACAACTACTGGATTGTACATGTATTTTCTCCAATGTCTTTTTGCTTCAACAAATCACCAGATACGCACGAAAAAGCGTATGGGATAAGATTAAGTGGAGAGTATACTACCATTTGGAAGTAAGTACTGATTAAGTTGTGGATATATCACCTCTAATATTTTCAACATCGAACACAATATACTACAACGTTAGATTTATTACATATAATAGAAGTTGCAGTAGAAGATGTTGATGTTGATTTATTAATAAGGCTAATTATATAAAATTCTCCGCTTCTTAAGAGAAGAAGAATTTTGTAAGCTCATATTTAAAGTCCGTCATCCCCTTAGCCTAAATTATCGACAGCTGTCGATGGCGTCGAATTACACACCAATTATTATGCCGTGCTATCTCCCGAAGCTTCTGAGAAACAGCCGGCTAAATCAAAAGTTACGAAGACGCCTCTCTCCTACTGCTCCGCCTGCCGTTTAATTAAATGGGGATACAAATAAGAAGATGATGGGATTATCCATTACGGCAGCTCCCAAAATGGGAATCCGGCATGGTAATCTTGTCCGGAAGAACAGCGGAGCTACTGTGTTAAAGCGGATTATCAGCCGCCGCTAGAAAGACTTAATAATAACTTTCCAGTTATACAACACAAAAGGTTTTGCGTGGTTGTGGCGCGGGCGGGGGGAGAGAGGAACGGGAGACAGATTGAGGGAGACCGCAATACGTCGTTTGTTATCCGATGTTTGTTGCCGTTCTGAAAATTCCCCCCCCCCCCCCCACGGGCCCCAAGAATTTTGGCAGTTTTCTGGAAGCACGTAACACAAATACACCGTCCAAAAAAAAAGCATTTTATATTAGTAAAAAAATGTTTGGAATAATTTTAGTTAAACTATACATTCAAAATTTATAGTCTTATTGCAGCGTGTGTAACCTTCGGCCACGTGATGCTTAAATTGTCTGTTTGTTTTTTCGAAATTTTTGTTGCTTTTTTATTTTATTTTCTTGCAGTTTTGTGTTATGCCGAGCATCCAATATAAGGATGGGATGTGAAACATGTGAATATCTAAAACCATAGGAGATACAGAAGAATTTTACGAGAACTTTAAATTTATCCGTAAAATGATTCCAGGGTGAACCGTTTGTGTGAAATTCGAGAAAATCTAAAATGTTGGAATTTCTATCTTCGTCTGTAAACTCTAAAAGAGAGAGAGTTTATTTTCGAGAAATTTTCATTCGTACTGGAAGTTAAACTGTTGGACTGTCAAGACTTTTAGCTTACGTGGACTTTTGTTTTTCCAAATGTCCGCTGAGAGCGATCATGACACTATAAAAAAATCAAATTTTACTTTTGTGAACCTAAGCATTTTTTTATGCTCTGAAAAACCAATGAAACAATTCTGTCTCCCTTCTCATCATTCATACCTTCTTAAGAAAGTATTCTAATAACGCACTAATCACAATTATCATGCTTGACTACCATTAATTTCATATTTGCAAAGAAATGAGATATAATAAAAATCCCATTTATGTAAAATTTGAAATTTTCGAAAAAAAAATTAGGCTGAAATTTAAAAGCAATAAATGAGTCTAATTTCTTTTCGCGGAGTAAAACTAGAGGTTGAAGGAGAAAATGGGCGGCGAGCTCGGAAGAGCTTTAAAGTGGACTGTAGGCTTTAAGAATTTAGAAATAATACCGATCGCCAAACGGGCCGCTAAAGAAGTTTGAGGTCTCACCTTAAGCGCACGCCTCCGTCTCCTCAGCAGGCCTGGTGTAAGTTCTGCTACTCAATTCGCAGAACTGACCGGGTGTTACGCCACGGACAACATAAACGCACAACGAGAATCTTAAGAATTAAGGTTCCCTTCGCGGAAAACGCGCTACAGATCTCGCTGCTGCCGCACACGGAATGATAACTGCACACCCGATCGGCTTGACGCAAAAAAAAACTTTAACGGCCATACCGCGGTAAAAAATGTTCCAGCAACTTAAATTTTTATTTGAGTACGCACAAAATTATTTGTCCCAAAAACCCGACTAAACATAAGAAAACTTTCTCTCTTTGCAAATTACCAAAAAATAAAATAATTAAAAAAATTATATATATACAAGGACAGACGTGTGATCTGTCCAGAGTCAAAAAACTAAATTGAATTGAATTAAATTTAATTAAAATTAAATTAAAAAATAAAATTGGCACAAAGATATTATTAATAGCTAGACACCCTCAATAGACCGACATATTGAAGAAGCATAAGTAAAATATACTCATAACAATTGAAATGACAATAATTACGGCGATCCAAAAGAATTTAGTGGATAAATAGGGAAAATAGAAAAAATTAAAAAATATTTAAATAGAGATAACAAAACATGGCAGCAATTTACATTAATCTAACAAAAAAGGGCACAAACTAATTTAATTTAAGATTAATTGATAGAAAAGGATTTCTTGCCTCGAAATATCCAAGCATTGTATAAATGCAATCCGAATAATGGGGAAGAGGAATGCAGATGTCAGTGAACCCACAAATGTCATACTTTAATTTTGAGTTTTTCCCAAAAAAAAAATTCTTTTGTCGTTAATAATTGAAGCTGTTTATGCGTTGTCATTATTGCTCTTTCCGAGTGGGCGTGTTTTTTTTTAAGCTAAATGATTCCCTCACGAAAATAACCCTCTAACGACCGTCCACTTTCTCGGGAATCGCTGTAATTGTTAGTTAAGTACAAAAACAACGTACACGAATCGCTCATTAGGAAAGCATTCAAAATAAATTGTCCTTCTTGCTTGTACGTTTTTGAACCGTCCCCAACTGAAGGGGAACGTGGTGCAATCGGGGTGGGGGATAGATGTGATGCCCGATTAGGAAAATTGGGCGGTGTTTTTGGTCGTTAGAGTACGTGAATAACAAATTTGTTTGGTTTCTGTTTTATTGATTAGTTGTGTGCTTACGTAGGTAGGTGCAAGCGCGGCAACATGGTAAATAAGCACCACTGCGGTGAATATTTTCGTAAACTATTTGAATATTTTCCTTTCCACTGTTTTTTTTTTTTTTCGATTTAATTTTACTTTAATTATTTCAGGAAAGGGAGATTTCAAACCATCGGACATCGATGGGTAAGTTATTTTTATTTATTTATTCTAAAACGCAACGTAACCCAAGCAAATTTTCCAATGTTTGCGCACTATCCGTAAATACCAGGACAATTTTGTACGACTATACCCAATAGAAAAGCCTCAACCACGGAGCTACCAGATATATAAAGATCTACGCTAATCATACACTTTTGACACCAACATCAAACATTTTTCAATATGGTCGAATCATTTCAAACCTTGCCATCAACCAATAATAACTTCGTGCCCCCAGCATGAATTCGACAGTTCTCAGTTTTGCGTGCTAGTTTTCAGTTAAAAAACCGGATAAGTCTGTGGAAATCAAAGTTTAAAAAGATGGCGTAAAGTAGAGGTTACTGTATGAAATTTGGGTTTATGCGCCGCAGATCGTTCGCTCTTTTACGAAAATGTTATACAATCAATCTGGACCGCTTATGGTATATGGCCTCATTGAACTGAGGTGGCTTTTACTTGATGAATAAGAACTAAAAGTTCAGATTTTCACGAAATTATGTATTATGACATGACAATTGTTTCGACAATTACATTAATTCATTGCATAATCGTATAAAATTCACTATCGAGATTGAACAGGATAACTCTATTAATTTTTTAGACTTAATTATTACGAAAGCGCAAAACAAATTAGATTTTTCAATGTATCATAAACCTTCACACACGGACACAGTCATACATAACAGCTCAAATCACCCTTATACACACAAAATGGCTGCATTTAACTCTTTTATACACAGACTTCTTAATACGCCACAATATCATTAAACAAATTGCACTGAACAACGGATACAATCCGTCCATTATAGATACAATTATAAATAAAAAACAAATACAGACAACAGTAAACTCTATTTATCCGAAACCTAATACCGAACACGAACAATTTAAAACAATTAGATACATAGGAGAACCTAGTGAAAAAGTTTCAAAACATTTGTCAAAATGTGGTTTAAAAATAGCTTTCAGAACGAACAACACAATAGGAAAATATTTAAAGAAACAATAAAACGAAATGTCCAAAATCCCAAAAATCAGGTGTCTACAGGTTAAAATGTGGATTTAAAAACAATAGCTTCGATTCTAATTATGCTACACACTTAAACACAGAAAAACACATTTTTGACGACAATTTTGATGTTTTACATACAGCCACAAAAAGTAGAAAATTAAATTTATTGGAAGCCATGGAGATTAACAAAATGAGACATTCAAATGTATTGCTTAACGATCAATTAGATTTATATACCTCTCCTTTATTGAACTTAAATTCTCACAACAACATTAATTAAGGTTTTATGGTCATTTTTCGGTATATATAGTAGCAGGTAGTTTGTATATTTTGATAAAGACACGGTGTTGTCGAAACAATTGTCGTGTAATAATATATAATTTCGTGAAAATCTCAATATTAATTTCATAAAGGCCTGAACTCATACATTATATATAATTTTAAAGAAATATTTATTTATAGTATATTATGCAACAAGTGCGGTAAACGGCATTTGACTAACGTATTTATTTGACACGAGCGGAGCGCAGCGGAGCGAGTTTTTAATAAACGAGTGAGTTAAACAGTTTACCGAACGTGTTGCATACTATACTTTTTCTACGACCGTTAATTTTTGGGTACATTTTCGCAAAACAACACGAATACATTCACTGTCAGAAGTGACAAACGTCAAAATTCAAAGCGTGAGAAATATCTCCGAAAACATCCGATTGCTCCCAAATCCTTGCGGTAAAATCCCGGAAATGTCCGAATTGACTCGGATTCATGGGAAACAAAACTGACGGGGTAAAGGGACGCTTCCCGCATGCTAGATCAGTGGGTAATTCGGTATTTTACAGACGGGAGTAGAAAAAATATATATTTCAATAAATATATTGAAATAAATATTTTATTAGGCGCAGTGTTTAACTAAACGCTTCGAAAAAGATTGAGGTTACGAAGCATGTCTTTCAAAGTTCGCGAGATGATTTCGTAGATGGCCAATGAAGAAATGAATTTCAAGGCTTATTTTGGACCCTTGCTCAGTGATATTAAGGTGAAATATCGCCAACAGGCGACGCCATTCGGCCTTTATGCGGCCCTCACCGAACTTTCCTTTACGGCCCGAATGGTTTAATATGAGCAACACGTGATACAAAACGCCATTGTCCTTGCACCGTCTCGAGACTAACTTTATAAATAAAGTTTAATATTTAAAATGCCCAGTGACGCGCCGGGAGCAATGCCGTCGTGTTTCAAGGCGCCTGGTTTAATTTCGGCACCCACAAGATGGTCGTTATGGCAATTTTCGTTCATATTTTTACTGGCATATCGTTGGAATCTGTAGAGCATGAACCAACTTAGAAGTGGCCACACGCGTCGTAAACTACTTATGACCTGCTTCACTTTATGGCTGTTTCCGTGGCACAAAATGCAGTGGCGTACTTAGGCCCTTTCAATAAGGGTCAAAACATTACAAAGCATTTATGGGATTTAACAATATTCAAAAACCATAAAAAAAAGCTTCGAGTGACATTCAGGTACCAACTAATTCTGAAATCAAAACATAAATATATTTCTAGACATAATCACATTCCTAAAATGAAAGACTAGCAAAAAATTCTCGATATCTTTCGACTCACTGGACTCGTTTCAGCATATTTAACACAGTTTTGACTTGTTTAGAGCTCTTCTAAAAAATTTGTATTGATTAATTAACGAATTTTCAAAAACATTTCATTACAAGATTGTCATAAAGAAAACCCATAAAGAAGTGAAACTACCAATAACCATTTAAATATTAATAACCTAGTTGATACTCGATTCTGTAATTGGGACCCCGTTAATTAAGGAAACTGAAACTGATAGTGTGACGTTCAACAACCAACTGGGCCGCTGACAGATTGTTACTTGTACAGTTGGACAATTTGCAGTATAATTGTGGCATTTTTTAAAATTTGCATCTAATGCTAAGCTAAGACATACTGATCATTTTTGATTACGTCACTGTACATGTTGTAACTCGACAACTTCACAATGTGGTAATTTCTTTTCTGGTTAGATTCAACTCATGAAACCAGAGTTTAACCGGAGGATCCTCGTGGAAGCTGGCACAAATTTTACCCTTGTAAGATCCCCTTCTTCTCCATCTTAGAGAGCCAGAAATCCATACATTATTTTTAACAACTCTAAAAATATCAGTAAAGTGGGCTTTTAATTTGAATGGGTTCTTCTCTCTAGCTTGGTTGTCCAGTCTATCCACAACTTCATTATTTCTAATACCAGAATAGTTAGGAACTCAACAAAGCGAATGCACTGTTTCAAGATTAGGCTCGAATTTTTACCTATGGTAAGGATAATCGTAACAGTTTATTACACAAATATCAGGGACTTCTTGGCTAACTGTCTAATTTTCGAAACTAATTCTATTCTAAAAAATTAGAAAAAGCACACAAAAAAAAGTGATTAAAATCTCAAATGTGATAGGTTAAAATATTTACTTGTCTTACTAAAATGTTAAATCGGGCCTCTTTATGTTATGTTATGTTCAGAAGGCCTCTAATTTTAGTCTGTGGCCGTTTTGCGCCTTACCTACTGACGTCATAATGACGTTAATCCGTGTGATTTTATTTAACATGTGTAGCGGAGAAGGCGTTCCGATACGTGCCGACCCTGAATTAGGGCACCGATCCCTTGTCACTACTGCGAACATGGGACCGACACGTGTTACCCCATTGTACCCCTTCGCGAAGGGGAGAGAGGCAGTTTTATCTCTATACGCTACTCTTCCGTCCCGATACGGGAATTTGTTTTATGTGCAAGGATGGGCACTAAAAGTTTTCTCTTATATAGTCGGAATATCCTCGAGAAATGGGCACAACGGAACCGTCGATGTGGAAATGAACTTTCCGACGTTTCGCATTGCTTTCGATAAACACTTAATATTTCACACCAGGCTTATCGCGACTTACACCGTCGTTTGTACGTCTCGCAGTGGGTACAGTTTTTGTCCTTCCAACCCACAGTCCGATTCAGTGGAGTACGATTTTGATGTTTTAGTATTGAAATATTTGTATTTAATTGAGGTTCTGGAATGTGGTCTACCGAAATAGAATATTTGGAACTATGCAAAGTTGTTCTATACTATATTTTATAACATTTTTGCATGCACTGCTCTATCCTGATTAGTTTTACTTAATACTTTTCTATGCGTATATTTCCTATCGTTTGTCAAAATATTAATGATTTTTCCTTTTTTTTCTCCAAAATATGACACCCTTAAAATGTTAATTTCGCTGTTATTTGAAATCATATGTTTATCGACAAAACTAACAAATAACAAAATTTCTTTAAAATGCCGTATGATAGTGGTATACTAAAATTTCGGAAATATGTTATCGTAATAATTTTTTTCTACTCCCGTCTGTAAAATACCTAATGACCTACCGATCTAGCGTGCGGGAAGCGTCACTTTACCACGTCAGTTTCTTGTCCCCCCGTATCCGAGTGACTTCGGACATTTCTGGGATATTCCCGCACGGGTTTGGGAGCATTCAGATGTTTTCGGAGATATTTCCCACGGTTTGAATTTTGACGTTTGTCAATTCTGTCAGTGAAAGTATTCGTGTTGTTTTGCGAAAATGTACCGAAAAACTAACGGTCGTAGAAAAAGTATAGTATGCAACACTTTCGGTAAACTTTTTAACTCACTCGTTTATTAAAAACTCGCTCCGCTCGTGTCAAATAAACTCGTGAGTCAAATGCCGTTTACCGCACTTGTTGCATAATATAGTATTACTCCATCAAAACCGTTTTAACCGTGGCATGTCAACTTCGTAGTAATGCCGCTAGAGTGCGTTTTCTGACAAAATAACAAAAAAATGCAAAAATCTCTAAACAATTACATGTAACATTATAATTTTTTTTCATAAAAATGTTGTTGTTGTTTAGTGAAAACGCATCCTGATACCTAATTCCTAGCCTATAAAATCGA